TAATATTTACAATTAAATAGCAAGATGAACTTCATTATATGAGTTAGCATGTGATGAACTCCATGATTAATTGTCTCATATGTTCGTCATATCAGATTTTCTTAACTAGCATTTAAATTATGACATTTAGATGACAGTACTAATTAACTGCCTTTTCAGTGGAAAACATACACACTTATGTAAAACATTTATTATAATAACTGTTTCGATAAAAACTTTTAAGAAATGAAAATTTAATGGTGTTCAACTCCTAAAATGTCCAACAAAAATGCTACTTCATATTAGTAAAATCAGAATTATCAAAAATATAGAGAAATGCAATTACCGAAAACACCAACATGGTGTTCATCCCACATTGGACATCTTGAAATCTTTAAATATTGCAGTATACTCGGAACCATGGTCAGCAGATGACACATAAGAAAGTTCATCACGAGGATGAAGACATTTCCCTACAAAAGAACTTGTCTTCAAACTTTGTTATTTTTTACACCATGAATATTTGTCTTGTCTAAGTTGAAATGTCAGAAAGTGCTGCATATGGAAGAAGATAAAAAGATTGCAGACTATGTGTCAAAGGTGCAGAATCACGTCCATCTCGTGAAGGGTTGTAGTGAAGCCCTAATTGATAAGATAATAAATGAGAAGCTAATGCAGATTGACCTCTTACTTTGATCACATTATCGTAGCTATTCAAAATCCAACAATCTTGAAACCCTAAAATTAGAAGATTTGGTTGGTTCATTGGAGGCACATGAGATTATGATTGTTGAAAGGAAATGATTCAAGATTCGATACAAGCACTGCAGGCTCAGGTTTGGAAGAAGCATGGTGGTTCTATTTAATACCCCGTATTTTTTAAAATGCTCTAAATAATATCATTTGAGCATCATACCAAAAACAGACTTCTCTGCAAGATCTGCTTCTCCTCTGCCCTTCAATCTTCTATCGTCCACCTTGCACAGTTCACCGCAAGCCAAAGTACATCATCACTATCAAGCAACAAGCTTGAATAGGTAGTTCCTTCGAGCATAGTCAAAAGACACTTTCCTTCAAAGTAACCAATCATAATACCTTCCACAAGGTTTTTTGATCTTGTGAGAACTACAGAACTGGAGCTTCCAGTACTAACACCCCCTTACCCTAGACAAAACTCTGGAACACTCATATCAAGCATCTTAGAAGAGACTCCAAGAAGAGGATATGAAAACACCAAGCAATCAGCAACTCCCTTGAGCTTTTAGCTATTGCATGATTCAAAAAGGTTGAGGTAGACTTTGGAAACAACCATAGTTGGAGAGCAACCACTCCTAAGAAGACCAGCTTATACTATATGGTACAACTTCAATGCATACAAATGGCTTCAGCTTGTACAACACAATGTCAAAACATTTTGATTTACATCAATGACTTGACTAGGAAATTGATAAAACCACACATCCTTTAGACTTCTAGACATTATCCCACCTTGAATGGCTTTTCCACCATAATAGAACAAGAGTTCCATGCTCTCGTAGACTTGACCATGAAATCAAGTTGAGTAAACAACTTTCATCCTGTACATATAAATGGAAGAACAACAACTAGTCCTTTTCAAGAAGGCTCTGGACAACGAACAAATACCTTGATGACAATCTACTTCAAACCCAATTCTCCATGGGAATCATCCACACACGATCAGAGCCCACACCAGAACCAAACCTAATATAAGAGGTAGTCACAGTATAGACACGTACAACTATCTGCGAGATCACTCAGATTCAGCTTTGAAAGGCCAGAAAAGTTTCCAAGATGTCAGAGTGAATGGTCCCAAACATGATTCTTTGACTTCCATATGCACATAATCTGGTAGAGATGTCTTCACAATCCTTCGGTATAAATTAGGCCACAAGCTCCTTCAACGGAGAACCAGAAGTCTAACTCCATATCAGAAATAAACTGACCTAAAGAAAACTCATCAAAGTTGATGGTGTCTTAATCTTCATCTTCACCAACACATAACTCTTGAATAGAGGCTTCCTAGACTGCAAACCAAACGTTTCTTCATGACCAATCTGAAGAAGATTCCCAACACTTTTGAGAACTTCACAGATGATTCTGATTATATCCATTCTTTAAGACAAATCAGTAATATCCTTGAATAATCAGGATCACTTTCCAAGAGTTAGAAACCTTATGTTGTTGCTCTTGAGATCAGTAGGGAAAATTTATCCACAAAGATCCAATGTCTTCACACCCAAGAATGCTTTGACATTAATCCATTTTTACTCCAGTTTCATCCAATTGTGATGACATTTGAGCAACCATATTGTTCCTGCCTTCTATTCTAGAATAGACTGCCTTCCAAGAATTGTGATAGGGAATCCTCAAACAAGGGCCATCTCTGATATTGCTCCTGACTTTCTTCTCATAAGTACCCGTGGATCTTCTTCTTGACCTATAATTTAATCAAACACATTTAGAAGTGCCTTTATGAGTTGACTTGAGAGACAACTCAAGTATCTTAGGCTAATTTAAACGTTACATAGAGTGTTTACCAAATCTATAGATCATGAATTTGATAAACAAGGTCTCAAATAAACCTATTTCCTTCTATTATCCTTCATGGTTCCTAGTTGAAACTATCTCCCAAGCAACATAGGGAGATCCTTCAATGAAAGCTAGATCTCAATGCTCTCTTCTTTATATTACTCCCAAATAGTGATAGCATGAACATCTATAGATGCTGACAACATCTTCAACAAGAGCTAGGTAAGATGTCAAAATATCTTATAAGACACCATGCGTAACAATAACATCATTATCAGCAGCAGCGGTAGAATCTTAACAAAAGTATCAGTCAACCATCTGAAGTTGTCAGACCGATTTCAGAAAGCTATCCTTCTAGCTTCCAATACCCTTGAACACAATAGTAATGAATGGTCTGATCACACAATCTCCTTCCTTGTTCAAAAGACCAGATCTCAGATGTCTCAAGAGATGTCAAGACATTAATCTCTGCTTAAACACAGTGACAAGAAGTAGTACAATAAAAATTGCAGAAAGTAAATGAACACACAGTAATTGTTAACCCAGTTCGGTGCAACATCACCTACATCCAGGGACTACCAAGCCATGAAGGAAATTCACTATCAGTAGTATTAATTTAGAGCTAAACTCCCCCGTTTACAACCCTTCACTTAATCCCTACTTAGTGCAACTTCTACCTAAAAACTCGTAGATATGAGAAATCACCATCTCACTCCCAATCACCGCAGTGATAAACAAACACTCTCAGTCCCAGGGAATGCCACAAGAAATAAAAAAAAATTGTGTACCCTCTTTCTTTTAAGAACTATACAAGGTCAAAACTCTTGAGCATGAACAATACTCGGTTTTGCTTAAAAGTTTCAACCAAGAACAATATACAACCTTAATATGTCTACCATGATGCATCAAAAATACAAAGGGTGACTTACAAAGTCACACACAAGAGACTCTCAAAATCCTAAACCCTTATGTTGCACCCACGATTTTTTTGTTGTAAATGCTTGTTATCTTTAGGTCTAGCAAGACCTTATTTATATACTCTTGCAGTATGGGCTTAGAATCTTCATTCAGGTCCAATCTTCACGTTGTAAATCTTTTGCAGAATCTTCTCCACAAATTAAAGTAGGAACAAATCTTTTATAGTTTCCTAAAAAGTCTTAAAATCATTTTTATGAAATATTCCAATTAACTCTACGTATGGTTCCTAATAAATATCTTTGACCTGCGCATAATGATGAGATATATCCAAAAGGATCTCATCAAATCAGATCAAATATGTCAAGAGATATAAAACAGCAGTGTCTGTTGTACCAGACCAAGATGTCATGACATCTGTTTGAAACACATGACAATAGTACTGTCATGACAGTTGATGAAGATGTTATAACATCTTACTCAACATCAGTATATAATTATATTTTACCAAAATTTAGTCAATCATAAAACCATGAAACTAATAGTGATAACAAATCAACTATTACCATGGCAAAGAATCCTGTTTTTCATAGTCGGACCAGACACATTAACATAAAGCATCACTTCATTCGAAGTGTGATTGAAGAAGGATATGTGCAGTTAGACTTTTGTAGTTCACAAGAGCAGCTTGCAGACATTTTTATTAAAGCACTACTAAGTGGATGATTTCAACAACTTAGAGAAGCAATGGGAGTTAAAGAACAACACATTAAGGGAGAGTGTTAAAATTGATGTGTTGTAACCACCACTATCTTTAGTAAGTATTATGAGAGAATTGGAATCACCACATTATAATTATTGTCTTTACTTAGATTTATGATAGAGTTATATCATTAAGATAGAGAGAATCAAAGATTCCTCATCTTGATTACCAACTTATTGTCTTCTCTATTAGTTTCCTTCAAACCTATATAAAGGTTTGGTAATGCTAAGTTGTATGCAAGTAAGAAAAAGGAGAAGAAATATGGTATGGTGAATTCAATAAAATTGGAGTATTTTAAAGTATAACTTCCACCAGTGAAAGTTCAGTGAAAAAAGTGACCGAAAAATATTTTTTTAGTCTAAATTCTGTAACAGTATATTTTATCACATATCACGTTTAGAATATCACTATCACTCTTTCAAAACCGCTTTAAGTATCCAAAAGTTATCTAGTGTCAGTTGACTAATACACAAAGTATTGTCGCATGCTCTTATTTTTGTTGTCATGATATGTTTTTTTTATTTTTCAATTAAATAAATAATAATTTGATATATGGTAGAAGATTTTAACCATCTGTGATAATTAGTAAAGAATAAACTTATAATGGACTCAATAAGTTATAAATGAACATAATTGCATTATTAATTGATTCCACAATACAATCTAAAATCCACTTCGGGGAACTTGATTGAGGTGGATACATAGCAGTGTAACTAGAAGTCCAAATAGAAACATATTTAAGGTTAAATTGAAGTTTTCGGTTACTCTTTAAGTTTTATCAGACTACCAACCATCATGGACACCTTTCATATTGAACAGATATTTTTCCAGCATTGCGTAGGTTGTTAGCTTGACCAGATTTTGCCAGGGAACCAAAAGCTTTGCCGCTCAAATCAAAATAATGATTACACTCAGGACACAAATCAGTGATAACTACCCTAATAGGATTGCCTGAGCAAGCAGGATTTTCTGTGCACTTCACCTGAAATTATAACAAAATAAAGTTTCCAATTATAAACAATATTTAATAACTTTCCAATAGTTTTTTTAAGAAAAAACTTTTCAATTGTTAGACCTGATAGCATGAACCACATCCTTTTCCTGATTGGTAGATGACAGGGTTTCCGGCTGATATCATTGAATTGTATGGAGGTTGGCCAACAGCTTTTCCATATCCACAAGCCCCACCTACATAGTTAATTATAACATGAATTAAAAGCATTTAAACAATTATTTGGTTAAAAAAACAATGAATCTTGCCATGGAAAAAATTCTACTATATACCATCACTTCCATAACCTTCCGGAGGTCCATACCAAGTAGCCATGGTAGATGCCCAACCTGAATCAGATGAGAAGTTGGAAGTAACATTAACAAGTTTTTTGGGTTTAAAACATAAGGAAGGGGTCCCTAGGAATATTGAAAGCAAACATACAAAGATGAATATATGAGAAACTGCATGTCCTAGAGTAAAAGCCATGATATCACTACAACACAAGTATTATATAGGTTGGTAAGTACTCTATGGTTTGATGAATAAGCTATGGTTAGTGAGGTATTTATATTGTAATTTTAAAAGATAACTTCAAATTCTCTTAACAAAAGTAGTTAAATGGCAATAAATTTTATATTTATGGAACAATTAACGTATATGGCTTATATATAATTCACATTTGATAATTATTTTGAATCTATTTTTTTTTAATAAAATAAGAGAAGGTAAAAATTTTCTCTCTTCCTATTTTAAAAAATATTATGCAAAAATACTCTATCTTTGTTTTGGCTCTTTTAATAAAGATTTTTTCATGTAATCATTGGAAATAAATACTAACGTTTACATTTTTTATCTTTAAAAATTTGTTTGAAATCATTTCAATATTTATTAATATTAAAAATAATAACTTGACGGTTATTATTATTTATTATTTTATACATAATATATTTTGCAGGCTAAAAAGTGACAAACTAATGATAAATTTTAATAAATTAAAACAAAATTGAGAGACTAAATTCAAAGGTTTTTATATGTGGGGATATAAAATAATTGATATAATAAAGCCAATTTGATTTAAAAACCATAAAAGAATGCTTAAGTATGAAAGAGAATTGAGTTTTTTATTTAAAAAATAAATAAAGAGAAAGGATAAAAAAAAAAACAAATGGGATGTTTGAATTTGAATTACAGACATTTTTTTTCATGTATTAATGGGAAATATATATAATAAATGAAGTTTTAATATCTCATTGCCAGCTGCAAATTTGTATTATAGATGATAGATATTAACAAAATCGAAAATACAAATTAATATTAATTTAAGAAACGATGAAAATATAGGTCAACACAATGAACAATGTATGTAACACTTTATTTTATTTTAAATTATTTTTCGTAATTTAATTATATAAAGTTTTTTGTATAAATGTGATTATGTGTGCTTTGTTGTGTTTAGAGATACTCTTAGTGTGGAGTAGTAACCTTAAGAGTAGATCTTGTAGTTGGAGAAGTGTGTGAGTCTTTGAGTAGAGATTAGTGGTGTGAGAAGTAAAATTAAATAGAAATATTAGTGATAATTATTTAATTATTTAATATTGAATGGATATTAATTCAATTAAATAATTTTTGAGAATTATTATTATTATTATTATTATTATTATTATTATTTTAATTAGATGGGATCAAAATAAAATGAAATACTAGGTGTGTAGAGATTTGAAGGGCATGATGGTAATTGTATGAGGATGAGTGAGGCTAAATGAGGTAAACCATAGTTGAAGGATTTTATAAAGGGAATTGAAAAAGATTAGAGTCAGTTTATTATCGGACATGAAATTGCAACAGAGGTTGAAAGAGGCTAGAGCAAAGAAGAGTGGAGAACTCCATTTGAGAAGAAAAAACTCTTCAATCTAACGTAAGGGGGGGGGGGGGGGGGTTCTGATTTTCTAAATGATATTATGATGAATAGTGGGTAATTTGTGTCAATTATGAATGATGTAAGGAAGGACAAATTTAGGGTTCAGATTGTTGTTAAATGTTTCTAACTATAATGATTATTGATAATATTAATGAACTCATTGATCTTGATGTTGTATGATTATGTTGCGTTGTGTTGGGTTGTTGATGATAATGATTTTTCCGTATCTTATTTGTTGACAGTGTTGATTATGAATCATGTGTTGAATATATGAATTGATGATTACATGAGGTATGTATGATGTTAGGGCCCCTAAACAGGTGTTGTAGGCTGTTATAACTGTAATATAATGGTAATATTTGGAATTCTGAGACTGATACTTTTTACGAAATCAAATTCGGAGGTCCGGAAGGCCTCCAACAACAAAAATCACACTTTTTTTATTGGTTGTCCTAGAGAGTTCGCGTAGCAAAAGTCCATGGTTTACATTTTGTAATGAGTTCACAAAAGAAAGGGTATCGAGCAGTATCTAGAGTTTGTGATACGAGTTGTATTTCGCATAGCGAAAGTTTGCGAAGCAAGCAGTAACGAACCTGTACCGAGTGATGGTAGAATGGACGTAACGTTTGAGGCACCGTTTGAAGCAGAGTGAAGCCGAGTGCACATAATTTCATTTTATGTGGGTTGTAGAACTTGAGAAGTGATCTTTTTTGTTGGATATGATTGAGGTTATGATATAATATTGTGTGGTATAATGCATTACTTCGAATGTGATTATTTTTAGTTGTTATGATTGCATAAAAGATATATATATATATATATATATATATATATATATATATATATATATATATATATATAATTATATATATATATATATATATATTTTATGACATATATTTTATGTTTGTTGACCAATTTAAGCCGTGTATAATAACCATGGTGGTGGGTTATAGTTCACAATAATGTTATCGTTGTTGTATGCATAAATAGTCGCATTGCATATATTTGTGGAGAATGGTCCGTGGTTAGTGAGTCTAAAATCCCATTATGTTAATTAGAAGTAACATTAACAAGTTTTTTGGGTTTAAAGCAAAAGGAAGAGATCCCTATGAATATTAAAAGCAAGCATATAAAGATGAATATATGAGAAAATGCATGTCCTAAAGCATAAGCCATGATATCATTATAACACTAGTATTATCTTTGTTGTAAATCTTGTTGTGAATTATGACAAAATTCAATATCAATTTGTGAGACAAAGAACAATAGCAACCAAAGTAAATGTTCTTAAACAATAATAATTCGTACGCACATAATATAACAGAATAAGGAAAGAAAAATAACGAAGGTTTGTTTACCCAAGAACAATCATATTTTCTACCTAAGTGTTTCCTTACCTCTCCAACTCTTAATATATGAATCACTCAAACCCAAGGTGTAATCCAAGGTTTTCTTTGTGCATAACTGAAACCTTATGCTGTACCTTTAAACCCTTGGTCTTCCTTGTTGGTGAAAACTCTAAGATTGTCACACACCAAAGATATAAGAGATACATATTTATAATAGCAAATACCCAACAAACAAAGCCCAAAATCACATGAATCCATGGACCGAATCGAAAAAAGCTCGAAAACGCTAAAACATTATTCACCGTATGGACAACTATTCATCCGTACAGATGTCACTATTCATCTGTACGGATATCACTATTTATCAATCAATTTTTTTTTTATTTCGAATTTTCGTCCAACATTCTAAAACTTCCGATTTTCACGGTAAATGCAACCTCCAAAATATGTTCTCTTTCTGTTCATCAACAAAGATTTTAAGGCACATTTTCAACAATCTCCACCTTGACTTTAAACCATGTTGATACCAATTTAACAATAAAAAACATTGTTGCTCTCTACCAAGTTAAAACTTTAATAAATAACTTTGATCAAATTCAAGCAACACTTGAATCTTGATCTCGCAACTTGAACCCACTTGATCTCAATTACCCTTTTCTGCCTAGATGATTTAACAAGCATACATATATGTTTTGTCAACCACCATTGACTCCACCTATTTTCAAATGCCTCGCTGATGGTTTTTCTTCTTTTATTTTGCAGTCCTTCAGCCACATTAAAAACATAATATCCAAGGCTAGCATAATTGTCCCTTTGAGATGCTATAAAAACCCTCCTTACCTTATCATGAGTCAGATGATAATCAGAGATCTCTGTAACTGTTCCCTCACTACTGCTAGCATTCATAGTAAGAAACTCCACCTCAAACTGAGTTTCCTCATTATAGTTTCTCCTAGGTTTCTCCCTTGGTTTTCACTATTCTTCTTCTGAAGAAATTCTCTACCAACCATGTAAGCTGTTTTAACCTCGGCTCTTCCCCAAAATTCATTGATTTCTGCAAAATTCATTGTACTCTTTTGAAACTTTCTCAGGGCATTCATAATGCCTTAAACTCAAATCCCATAGCTCTTCATTGTCATGAAAGCTTCCACTAGTTAACAATGAATGAATAATAACATTTGAACCTTCTAAAATATATAGACCACATATTTTAGACCCTTTAGCAATAATCAATTCACCACGCGAAATCTTCAACACTCCACGTTCAACTCTAGTACAATAGCCTAGATCATCAAACATACTTATAAATAACAAATTCCGCTTGAGTTCTGGAACATAGCGAATAAGAAGTTCACGATCATTAACCATTTTAAATCAGACCGTACCAATACCATGAACCTTGCATGCGCTATTATTTCTGTTGAAGCGGTAAAGCAGCAAGCAAAAATATTATTTTTGGAAGAATTTCCTCCGGGATTTATCGTCTCCACAGGGATCAGTGTGAGGGAAAGAATGCCGTTCGACAATCTCTACGTCTCTAAGCTTGGGTTTGAATGGTTTGGGATAAAAATTCAAAAGGAAAAACATAAAACAAGAAAATAAGTACATTCTTAAGAAATGAGAAAACTCGTCAGGAGTTGTATTTCGTTCTACCCATCATGTACTAAAAAATATATGGATCAAATGCACGCAACCTAATTCACTCGTCAATATCATCACGTATCGCTCACAACAGAGTTTATCTCTAACACAAAGTCGAGAGATCAACCGTATCGTCTCATTGTTGATCTCTCACACAAATCGACAACACGGAGCATTAAGAATCGATACCCACGTGAATATTAGTCCTAAATCTATCTCTAGCATTTAGAATCTAACAGATGTTCATCTAAGATCGAGTTCGAACAGTATATGTCTATCACAATCCAAACCCATTAAGTAAAAAATCAAGATAACCATCGATAAAGAGTTGTAAAAGAGATTTTATACAAAGATCCATAAATATACATACAATCAAGATAAACTTACATACAAAACCCCAACAAATGAAAAATACATAGAGAGGAAGGAAGAAGAACACAAATCTCACGGTCTGTCAACTCCGATTGAAGTGGATTCAACTCCGGATCGTCAAGATGCACCCTCCAATGTTGTTTCTAAGCTAAATCTACTCAAGAATGTGTTTGATGAAGTTGGGGTAAAAAGTTCCCAAACAA